AGAGCTGTTCTATAGGACTTTGTTTTTCTAAGTAATTCAACAAATAATTACTCCTTTCCATGGCTACTATGCTCTTTTACTACGGTGTCAAGTAACACATTATTGAGCTCTTGCATAATTTTAAAAACTTCTTATGAAGCTGGTGCTCAGACAGTTAGTTAAGTTTTAAGATCGTTACAAATAGGACATAAGGCTAGTATTTACATTGCTTACGTTTCAAGAATAGTCAATAAATATCTTTAACCACATTTCAGATGTGACCTTACAAACACCTTACAGATGTGACTGACCTCTGTAATTTAACTTTGTGTTTCTTGTTACTGAATTTGTCTATACCCCAGCAGAAGAGGCTGGTTCAAGACTTGAGGCATTTGAAAGATCTGCAGTGTGATTTTATCTCTGTTCTTTTTCTGTTTTGTGCCTTTTCCAACAACTGACAAATACTGCAGAGGGGAATATAGGTCTGCATGGACATGATTAACGATATATCAATTGCATGACAGTTTCCTGGCTTCCCAGCACCATGGCAGATCCAAAGGACAGTCACAGATGTAAGGCTTAGCAGATGTATATGCACTTGCAGTCTTGGAATACCTACAAATTCTCCTGAAGGCAATGGGACCTTTTATGTACCTCTTAAAACATATCTAGGACTATAAACTCAATCACTTTGGGAAAACAGTTAGGTCTGTGTATGAAACCTAAAGTTTTGAAGTATACAAGAAGTCTCTTCTGTCTTTAAAGTCTATGAAACACTCCAATGCTCAAAGTACTGTATACATTCAAATGGATGGTGAGGGAAGGACTCAAAGACAACAGAAAAGCTGAACATTGTAGCTGAAGAGAAGCATGAGTCACACCAGACAGACAACTCCACTAAAAGTAAAATAATGGCCTTTATGTGGATTTTAATTGCAATAAGTTCACATCTGAAACCAGAGAAGCACTGGCATGGAGTGAGGCTAGGCTCAGTAATAAAATACTGAGAGTACGAATGAGAGGGAGACATTAGTAATAATATAACAGATCTTCGGGCAAACAGTTCCAGTAGAAGATGTCCTTGAAGATGGTATTATTATCAGAACCAGATGATCTGTAAGGTCCCTTCCAACCCAACCCATTCTATGTTCTATGATCTAGATCAGCTGAAAGCAGTAATGAAGCTTCTTCCTGCCTTTATCTGTGCTCATTTCAGATGAAACACGCTCAAAGAACTGAAGCACGTGGGCTTTGAAGGAGTAAATCTAGTTTGGTCAAATACAGAGGGGAATGGTGAAATAACAGAAAAGCTGAAGCTGAGTCAGAACATAAGCCAAAACAGAAAAATATATTTCAAAGACAAGGAGAAGGCATAGAATAACTTGGCAAGAGCCAAAATAAACCCTGATTTATACTACAGATAATGTTATTTGGCATACATCAATAAAGTGATGAAGAAGTTTCCAAGGCTGGAACCTAATTCTACAATGATATTTCAATCTGCTTTATTTCGAGCTCAAGGTATGAACATCAGAAGGAGAGCATAGCACAAAGGAGCCTGGCTTTCTGTATGAACTGAACCTAATAAAGAATTTCTGATTTTTATGAGCCTTCTTATGCTTACATCTTTCCTCTATCAAACTTCATTTTAATTATTTGTCACTCTCAATAAACTGCTCCATACAATATCTGCTGTATGCAACGCACTATGCTTTACACATTTCTTCCAGGATGAAAAAAGCTAATTTATCTAGATTTTTCTCTTTTTTTTTTTCTTTTACTTTCCATTTCTATGGCTCATTCCTCATTCCAATATTTCTGAAAATATAATAAGATATATACAGAATAATTAAAAAAACATAGCAATTAACCTGTCTCAGGGAAAGCATCATAAAGTAAGTGCTGCTTCAGGGAAATTTCTCAAGTAGAGTCAAAAGAGTATGCAGAGAACAACATAATATTTAAGGCAACACGCCAGTCAAATTATATCCAATCAAGTCTGGCACAGTTGATTTAAAGTACCTTGGTCTTTCTATCCAGAGTTATCCATTTGAGGAGACATAAATATAGAGGATGTAAGATGTCATAAAAGCAACATTGCAGTTCGTGATTATATAAATGAAATAGCTATAAAATAGATATACACACTCATAGGAATTGAAAATAAGTCTGATGTAATTAGGCTTACTTATATAATTTATGGAATGTTTTTTTTAATACACAATTTACTGAAGAAACTGTATCACCACATATAAAACGTAGTTGTACTTGATGCAATACAATCCAATATACTTAATTCTCTGAGGTATGTTGGGAAAACATTAAAAATAGCTATACTGGTCAAAACCAAGCATTCCAGTGTCAATACGCTCTCTTTAGCCATGACCAAAAACATATGCCTAGGACAGACCAAATATGAAGTCAGAAACTGCCTTTAATTTTCTGGATCTCTCAGTTGATGTTCTCATGCATTGTGCAACATCCTGTAAGCTGTGTTCAGCAGTAGTTTACAGTCCGTTACACTGTATGTGAAGTTACAGTTTCTGTTTTTCCTCATCTTTATCAATTTACATTTACTTTCTTCATCTGCCATTTTAATGACTGTTCACTCATCTCAAAGCATCTTTTCTGCAGTACTTTATTGAGGTTTCAACCTCTATTCCTACTCTTTTTTTCCCAAACTTTAATCCTCCAGCTTTGGTGAGGGACATTTTGAGAGCATTTGGAAAGCCTACTTACATCAAATGGATCTTTTTTATCACACACTCATTTCTCCAAAAAACATACTCTTCTATATTCTAGTTAATCTATTTTATTTTTCTTGTGGTTTCTAATAATTTTTATTGTATGAACATCAGATTCATTGGTTTATAATTTTTGGCTTTCCCGTGATACGATTGTCACATTTTCTGTCTTTCAGTCCTGAACAATCAAGGTGGTTTCAGCTAAAGGTTATAAAACAACAACAGTAATTCAGTATCTGCCCTCCAGAATAACTTTACAGTGGCCAAGGGTGGTCCTGGCAATTTTTTCTCTTGTAAAGACAAGATTGTTCACCACATTTATTCATGTTTATGTTGGCATGTTCCTAACTATTCTTAGGTAGTTCTTGTATACATGCTCTGCCTCCATAGAGAGTGGATATAAGAAAAGCCACAGTTCCTTCTTCTTAGACTGCAATTGCTGCCTTTAGCAAGTGGAATGGGAACCAAGTCCTGCTTAAAATGCATGAGAACACTCTCATTCAAACCAGGGGAAGACTGGTCTCTGTTGGGTTGAGTGGAAGTTTTGCTGCAAATTTAAATGGATATAAGGTGCCAAAAGCCAGAAGTTGCTTTTCCAACCCAATAGCCAGTGAACAAAAGCAAATGGAAAAATCACTTAAGCAGACCAAGGAGCAGCAAAATGTTCTTTCCATTTCTCTTTCTGTTCATCGAGAAATAAAAAAAAACAGCTTGCATTCATAAGAAAAAATATTGAGGAAAGCATAGTACTTTTCCATTCAGGAACATAGATTCTTTTCTCAAGAAACTACTGACAAGAAGACGAATGCTCATTTCATTCATCAGAGTGCCTTACTGGAACAGTAGCAGAAAGAATTCACGACAGAACTGATCCAGCAGAATTTTTCACTGTAACTTCTTTAATCAGGAAAACACTTTACACCTGAAAAGCAGAATGTTTTTCCAAGGACTCAGATGGAAAAGACTCAGAACCCCACGTCCTACAGCTACACTGGCTCCATGAAATATTACAAATGGCTCTCAATAACATAAAAATATTACTGTACAGGAACAAAGACCACAAGTTACCTAGCTGCCATGTCATACAACTAGGCTTAATAAGAAATAACTGGAATGTTTGTTGATAAGATAAAAAAAAAAACAACAGCAAACAAATTAAGGGGAGCAAAGTAGGAATTCCAGGGACAGCTGAACAGTCATGATCAGAACATGCACAGATGGCACGCAATGCCTGGGACGGTTTGAGTATGTTACATTTTAGTACGAATACGAATGTGGTTTATGGATGTGAAGACAGTGTAGGTATAGTATGACAGTCAGGAAAAGGGAGGCAGCTGCTCTGCTTCAGTTTAGGATGGAGTTTGCTGAAGTCATTAGTGGGCTTGCCTGTAACACCAGTGACCATACAGCCCATGGCCTTTGCTATTGGGTAGGTTTCTCAGTTGTGCTCTAGGTCAGGAGACTTAACTAGTCTGGACTGTGAGCTCTCCTTTTCCAAGTATTGAAGAATCCCACCTATTCTCACACTATTTATTACCATGCATCTTTAAGTATCTATTCACATGTATCAGATACTTATAGCTATTTAGGTGCTGTCAGACAGCAGTAAGTATGATTTCAAAAAAGCGATGAGGGAAGTTTAGTGACTAATATCCCAACATTCGCCCTCTAAGATGGAGTGCTAACGTTTGTAGCCTGTTATTTTGTAAGGTATTCTTTTTAGGACAGAGATAGCAGGACTACAGAGACGTTTATCTATTACATTTATCTATTAATATGAACATTGTGCTGCCAAGCAATTACGTACTAGCAACAAGAGAATGTTCAGCAATTATTTTCCTTTAATCTGTGAATTTTGATCTATTTGACACTCCCCATTCTGTGGCCAGCAGGATCCAATCATTTTTATCAGCACTTCAAGCACTACAATACGCCACCAAGACTGGAGAAAAATGAGGATGTAAAAGTAATCTGTGCAACAGATAGAGGTGTTTACATATAGATAGCATGTTCAGTTTGATAAATAATTCTTCCTGTAGTTGGATATTTTTCTAAATATCTGCTATCAAGAAGACACTCTGAAAGTGCCAAGTTCAATTTCCTTTTTCTAGATACAACAAAATGGACTAAATTTATACGTGCCATATGTATGCCACTGGTTTATTGATATTAAACTCTGAAAATCATGAAGAAGCCTGGCAAATGAGAGGCTATTTCATTTTAATACAGAAGTGACAGTTCTGTGACCTTTTTATGTCATTTGTCATATGAACTTACCAAGCAGCTTGAGAGAAATGACATCTTGGATGAGAGTCCAGCCTGATGAATGCGGTGACAGTCTGGAGTTTTCTGTTTTTCCCCATTCATTTGTCTTAAGAAAAAAAGGACACCTGGAAGTAAATAAATAAATTGCAAATAGAAGACAAAACTGAATAAAACTTTCTGATAGAACTATACTAGGTAATCTGCCCCAAAGGTAAGTTGGTCTCTTGTTTTATTTTGCATTTCTGTGACGATCTTAATTTAAATAGGCAGTGGTACAGTCTGTTCATGAAATGAAGAAGTGTGCTAAGTAAATATGTAGACACAGCAGTAACATGGCAACAAGGCAGACTCCTAAATTCACCACTGTGTTTTGTAGTTTTTTCTAATCCACTGCTACAGATTAGGAAAACAACAAAAGAAAAACCCCCACAACTCATAGAATTTTTACAAAAGGGTTTTAGAATCACTTTCAAAGTATAGCACTGGTGCATGATATTCAGGCATGCAAACAGCATGGGCACAATACAACAGCTACACTACACTTATTGGATTTCCTCTAAACTGGGATCTGGTTCAGCTGAAGCTCAGGAGTGAGTTCACACTCGATCAGCATCTGTCCCCAAGCTCCCCTACTGGTGTGACAGTGCAAGAACAGCAAACAGACATGCCAGGTCAGCAGAGCTGGCCCAGCTTCATCCTTGCGTAGCCACAGGCAGTCCAACTTTACATAGTGAACAGTAAGCAATTGGGATGAATGCTCCCATCCTTCCAGGATGAAGGTATTTTAAAAATTCAAGAACTTATCAATCAGGCTCCACAGACTCCCCCAGATATTGGCCTCTACAATTCACAAGACTAGGCAAAGTTCATCTGAAACCATTTTACAAGTTAGAGCCATACCAGAAAATTTTCAACATTGTATATGTATGAGAATGTATATATTTACGTATAAAGACATATGTATATTATATATACATGAACACATACGAATTTGGAAGTAAGCACACATACGCAAACACATGAAAAATCTACAAAAGAAAACCAAGATTCTGGATTGTTTTCCTGCGATCAGATGATCTGAGTTCATTCTGATTTATAACAAAATACTCTGCCAAAATCACCAGTGCAGTAATTAATTAACTTCAGCCAGCTATATTTGCTGGCACTTTGCCCTTTTATATTATTAATGAACTAGTTTATTTTGTTTTCAAGATGAAATACCTATCATTCCAGTTTGCAATAGGATCCACAAAGAATATCCCTTTCCATACCAGGAATATTTTTGCAAAATCAAAGCCTTTTCCTTCTTCCCATTTTTCATACTTAAAAAAATTAAATTGCACATGTGCCACATTTACTATCTTTCAAAAGAGAGACTTGCGGCCTTCTGGCCCCAGCACTCTGTGGGTAGGAGAGAGAGCAACAGAAGGGGCAGCAACGAGAGGTTGTATTTCCCCAGCATACAAGTTTCCTCCCTGCCCTTCCAGCCATTTCCATGCTCTTGGTGCCACAAGGTACCATAATCCAGTAGAATATAACCCAGTAAAAAAATTACCTTTTTTTCTTTTTTTTTTTTTCTTTTTAATAACTAAAAGGGTTTTAGCAGCCTTGCCAGACTAAACCTTATTTTCTAAGGCTCAGGACCTTTGATGAAGTCTGCTCTGGGCAGAAATTTTACAAGATTCTCTAAGAACCGGTAAGTAAAATGGTTTGCAAGCTCGATGTTACGTAAGAGTATAAAAATAATTAGTGTTAGGTGCCATTTATTTACAGTGCTTGAAAATGTCTGAGAAAAAGGTGGCAAAAATTATAATTACTAATTAACTTCAAGCTCTGTTCTAGATACATTCATTTTAGCTTTGCATGACGAAAAACAGAAGCAGTCTTTAATGCATGTAAAATATATGATCAGTATTATAGATGCAGACTTTTGGATCATGCAGAGGCTGTGTTATCCCACTACTTCTCCCTTCATTGGCAAATATGCATTTGGGAGAAGTTGCTTCTCCAGAGACAATCTGCATGGCTGGGAGTGGGCCAGATCTACTGAAAAAAGGACACAACTGAAGAGTTTTGTTTTGGTCAATAGACTTTTGCTTTCCATTTTTCAGAAACACAGAATCTGTCCTAATATCCCCTGCCAAAAAAGCATTAGTAGTTGGCTTTGCTCTCCTTTTCAATCAGTCATTTGGGATTTGCCTTTTTGGAGGGAGTGGGCAGCAACAACTGCCTCTTCTGAAGCAGTGAGGACTTTCATTATCACAAACATAATGGTTCTGTTGTCATTTTGAATGATAGCAGGTCAGTTTGGAAAAGAAAAGCAACTTTGGGAGAAATGCTGACAAAGAATCCAAATCCAAGTCAATACACTGTCTTAACAAAGAAAAATTACATTTTGAGGGTAATACCCATTTCAATGAAATCGAATTTATTGATGAAAAGGTGGGAGAAATGATTCTCCTAAAAGAAAACCTTTTTCTTCTTCTAGTTTTCTTTTTCTTTCTTTTTTTTTTTCTTTCTCCACTTTGGCAATGCTTTTGATCTTTTACTATGACATATGACAGAAAGTGCTTGATAGAAAGTAAAATAGTATCAATATGTATGAGGAGTTTCTTTCCATACTCCAGCAGGAAAAAAAAGTAATGCTTTGAGAACTCCCATAGCTGATGAGAGAGATTTACATCTTCTCAGATGCAGTAACATGGCACCAGTTAGGCTGTGAATAGCAGCAGTTTTTGAGCAGCAGTTGAGCATGACTAGTTCAAAAGACTTTAAGCAAAAGTCTTTGCAAAAGATTGGCTGGCAGTCAGCACTTCTCTTATATCTGAATAAAGATAATCTGCATAGTGATTTCTTAGCATTTCTTCCTTTGCTTCCTCTCCTGTCTAGCAATTCTAGACTCTGTTACATTTGTGAATGTGATGACAGGGACTTGATTTTCTTCCTTTCCATGTTTAAAGATGACCTTGATGTTAAAGCATGTTTCAAAGGTCCCTCAGCTTCGTTTAATATCCAGACCTTTAAGTGCGGTCTTTAATAGCTGTAAAATGTTCTCATAAATTCCAAGCTATGTATTTTCTATATTGTTTCTTTATGGTTCATTTAGTGTGACATTATATCAAAAATTTTAAAAAGGCATTTCCTTCTCAATCAGTTCTGAATGAAGTGTCTGAAAAAAGCACTCCTAAAACTTTCTACTTGAGCCATTAATTAATGCACTGCTTGTTAACTGCTGCTGTAGCTTTTGATTCACAGACACCAGAACAATCCTATAGTGATGGATGGTCTGGAAAGGCTTAGACAGTGAGGCTGGAATGTATGCACACATCACAGTAAAATGAGAAACGACATTCACTTCCAAATGATCTTTATGTGATAATACTTTAAAGAAGTGGTAACATCGTGCTGGATACTGCAAGTGCATAAGTAAATATAAGCAATGTACCATGTGTTTTATCAACATTTGCCAGTGTAATTTTAGAATATAAAATCAAAACATAGTATGGTGCTTTATGATGCAAGGAGCATTTTTGCAGATAGCATAAATAACAAATCAAGAATGTCTGTAGCTATGAATAAAGATGTCCTGAACATTAAAAAGAGCCTGCTGTGAGGGAAAATCAAAAACCTGTGTGGAAGTAGAAGGAGCTAGTGGTAATCAGGCCTGTTGAATTTAATGGATCTGGTTTTATTTTCACTGTTTTCCTACGAAGTAAGAAAGATTTAAATATCCACCAACAATTTTCTACACAAGCCGAGTATAACAAGCTGTGCTGTAGAAAGCTTTTTGTTTAACAAGCATTTCCAACCATAAAAAAGAAAAAACAAACCAGAGAGAGAAGTATGTCGGGCTACCAAATGGTCTCCATCCTTTTTCTTGTCCTGGAGCAATTTCAGACCACAGAACACTTGCTTTGGTTTTCCAAACTTCCTGCAGCACTGCTACAGGCAACACACTGTGTCTGTAGAACTTCTAGTTACTCCAAGGGTGTGTCGAAGTGTGTTATGGTACACCATACCATAAACACAGCAGTTTAGTCTATCTGACCCCATGTAAAATCAGTAGAGAAGCTGAAGGGCCAGGTACCCCTTGAGTCCCACAACAGCACAACAGACATAAATTGAGCTGCAAAACTTACCCATGAAAGTGGCTGACAGGGTCTGTGATGAGCTCTGGACTGTCACCATTGGCATCAATCTGCATTGAAGGTGCTGTGGCAGTACCAGCGAACTCTGCAACTGTCATCCTGGGTACGGGTTTGAGTCTGCTGAGAGATTAACAACAAACTGTTCAGCTTGATACAAATTAAAGGAATAGAATTGTACCTCAGAGAGGAAGGGCAGTCAGAGAACAATGGAGAAGCCTCAGCTGGTTAATGCCTTCGGTTTTGTTGGTGACCAGAAGCTATAAAACAGCAGAAAAGAGTCACGCTTAATAAACATCTGTTATTTGGCCATCTTCAGTGCTAGTTTTGGAGTGAAAAGCCCTCCTGAAAAGCTTCCTGGCACCACGACTTTGAGCAGAGGGATGAGGCTGAGTGGATTTGTGAAACGGATCTGGCAGGAGCCCTGGTGCTGCACCTGTGAAAAGGAATGGCTACACCAGGCATGTCCAACCCACAGCTCAGCCCAGCCCACGCTGCCGCCATTCCCTTGCCCCATGCCATCATAGCAGTGGCTGTGCCTCATGAACCAGCCTGGTGACTATGTTGAAAAGCAGTGTTTTGTAGCTGAGAATTTGTTCTATCAGTGTTACTGTGCTCATTGTATCTGTTGTATTTTCTGTGGAAATAAATAGGAAGCATTACTTTCAGAGAGACCCAGCCCAAGACTATTCCTTTTTATTCAGTGTGGCTGGCCAGGCAAGCCGTAGAGTTGGATACTCATGTATACTACGCAGTGCCATCCCTGCCCATTGGGGTCCAGAGAACAGCAAGGAACACAAGTGTTATTAGTAATTAGTAAAAACATAACCAGATGCCTCAGAGAAGTATCAGGTACACTGATGAACCACAAAGACACGTAGACCATCGTCCATGGGAGCTAAAAAGAGAAAAAGCAATTTCATTCTGTAGCAGGGTTTCAGAGTATCTGGGGACAGACATTTCTTTGCTTTCCTCCTCTCATCGATTTGTATGCCATGTGTTCTTGTATCTGGCATAATTCTACATTTAGGGAAAGGAAACACCCATAGACAGTAACAGCACTAAGACTCAATTACAGGAGAATCATACTGGATTTTCATTTGGCTGCTAAAATAAAACCAACGGAAGTCTAAAAGGGCAGTGTTGAAAGAAATAACAGATACATATGAATGCTGGATGAACCTGGTGAATAACCCCAGCCAGAAAAAATCAGAAGATGTTGTCAATGCCACACCTACTTTCTACAAAATTTTATGTTTTTAGGAAAGCTCTGGTACCTGGGTTTTGGTGGTCTACATTAAATGCAACTTGCTGTGTTGTTTTGTATCATCTCAGGGTAGAAAAGTATTACAGAATGCCTGTATTTACTGTATTCTGCTTGTGTCAGTCAGTAAGTGAAAGCATGCCCTATCTAATTAAATCTGGACTTCACGTGCATCTCTTCATTTACCTACTGTGCAAATAATGGGAGCTAACACTGTAGTATTAAAATCAGATAAAATCACATTTTTATTAAGACAGTGTATGGAAATATATAAGTATCATGTGAAACATATTCTCTTTTACATATTGCATAGAGCTCTGAAATTGATCAAGATGTCCTTGGGAATGTATCAGCAATGGATAAAGAGAGCAAACTCCTCATCCTCCAGGGATCAGGCAGCTTCTTGCTGTTCTTTCCTACTGCCTCCTTGATTGAAAATGAGCTTGTTTGGTTTGTTTTCCTCTTATCATTTCAGTTAGGGTAGCATCAGAAGGCATTATCATAATTTAGCCAACTTCTCTCCACTCAGTAATTCTAAGACAGGCAGTTAAACTGCACACATATTCCCATTTCCATTTCAGCATGGATTTTGGACTTCTGTATTAAGTTAGCATTAATCGAAGGCTTATGTATAACTTTCAGGAAAGTACATGTTACTTTTGCCAAGTAAAATATAAGAAGTGAGGGAAAAGAAAAAAAAGAAAGAGAAAAACTGTGAACATAGAAAGTTACATATGGAGATATGTAAGAGTCCACAGAGCCACTTTGCTAAAGCAGTCCATATGTGCTTCAGTAACAGTGCAAGGAAGGGAATACAGCTTGTAGACACTTTTAGGAGAGAGAACCACAGCTTATGGAGATGTAAAATAGAGATATGTAAGATGGAAAGGTCATGCAGAAAAAAATGGTTTAAACAATTACAGTGATTTATGTATATCAATAAACAGAAGAGAACAATATTAACTAAATCCAATCTAATATTATGCTTGTGTGTATTCTTCATATCTATTGATTGACCTAGGCTGATGCATAAGACTCCCACATGAATTAACAGTTAATATTTCAGAAGAATTGTGAATATAAAGTTGCTTTTAGAATGGCATGTATTAACAGATTTAGCTGTATTTTTCTGAAATAACCTTAATTATGATAGTGGGATTGGACTCAAAGTATGTCTGTCATGAAACCAGGTAAGCATGGTATAAGCACATCTTGAGGTAAGTTACTGAGCACATAATACATCACAGTTATTCCGTTGATAGCAATACAGTAAAACATCAGTTTCTGATAAGATGGTCCTTCCAGCCACTGTATCTGTAATTCCAGCACTGCGGTCTGTAAGTACCCAATGGAAAATGCCTCCTACACACATTGTATCTTTGTGCTTTATGCATCTCATGGACACCATTCAATTTAGAAAGACAAACTTAGAACCTATTCTGTGCCTCCTAAAGTCTGAATAATCTTTTCCTCTGAGCCAGCAAGCATTTGTCCCAATCCTTGTTACCTATTATCTCTGCATTTAAATGTGCTTTATTATTATTAATAATCCTCTTTCAGCTCAATTTATATGCAGACAAAATACACGTAAAACTCAAATTGACATGTTATACATGTTGAAAATGTATATAATATTTTGCACAGCAATAGGTTGTCAAGTTCTCTCTCTGTACGGGATCTTGCTGGAAACATCCCCCACCTTGTAGACAGTTTCTCAAGACAATTATTGCTTTATTTTCCCACTTTCAGACAAAGAAATGTCAGGGAAGCCAAGGCTGTATCTTTTTGATAAAGGCACAAAGAGCAAGTACCTGGGCTGTGGGTTTGAAAGCTGTCCTCTGCAGCAGGAGAGCACTTTGATGTTCAGCAAAGCAGAAAAACTGTGCATGCTGCTTTCATATGGTGAGTGTTTGGACACATCGAATGAGCAGCTCAAGGTATTGCAGAAGGCTGCTGTACCTTAAATTTGCTTCCAGTTTGAAAAGTCAGCATGTTCAGAGATGGGAAAATTCAACTCTTTTTACTGTTTTGCTTATCATGTCATTCACACTTATGTAAGTCTGAGGTCTCTGAAGTTAATCTGTGAGGAGATTGTGTGGGTCATAAATGCAGAATTGGGTCCTGTATATGTACATGCGGGATCTTCTTGTTTCCAGGCTGCCATATCAATGGCGGCTATTTGTGAGCAAGGATTTGTTTTATAAATCAAAGTTTTTACTTGTTACAGAGTCATCCAAATATGGTCAGGCTGTGTTAAATTTGTAAATAACCATTAAAATCGTATTTTCTTGTTCTTCACGGAAATATGGCTAATAATAAAACCTGCAAAAACTCTGTGTTGGTAAACTTGAGGTAGACATTCAATGCTTTTCTAATGAAGGGGAGGATTGGAACCATAGATTTTTGACGTTCAAACTCACACAACAGCAACATGGATAGTGGCAGGGGTCTCCTCTTACGTTGGTGTCTGCTGCTCTGGGACCAAAGGTAAAAATTAAGTAATGCAGGACTCTGGAAACTGAAATTATAATTAAAAAAAAAGAACTCAAAAAATGAGGACATGAACATTGCTTATACACCTGGAACAATAATTGCTACAGATTGTTCAGAATTTTTAGCTTTTTTTATGAAACAGGCAGATGCATGTGTTCAAAGAACAAAATTATCTGAGAAAAATGAGACCTTAACTCTTTTCAGTCAGTGTTATGTTTTCCCTTGGAGAAGCATAATTATCTGCCAAGTGTGGGAAGATTCCTTTGTTTAAATCCTGACTGGCAGCAAAAAAATCTGCTCTCTGCTAAAATTATCTAATTTTGTAGCTGTCTCAACAATATGCCTGCTTTTATCAAACGATGCCCTTTCTTCCTTACTGGTAGAATACTCATTGTGCTCCATAAACAGTCTGTTTGCATTATGTAGATTATTTCACAAGAAAAGTGAGAAGTACGCTTTTGACAGGGATAGAAACAATGAAGCATGCAGAAAGATCAAACATGCTCATTAATTCAGATGGTAAGAAATAGAGGCATTAACATCACAGTATCTTTCTTGTTAGTTTCATACTGTATGAAGTCCCATAGTTGTCACATGGAAAAAGTCTCATTTACTTTTCAATAATCAAATATTTAATAGAAATTCTTATGGTTTACATCATATGCTGTAGAGAAAAGTCCTCATTTAGTGTATTACTTTGATGTATTCTTTTATTACTTGAAAGGCCAATTCAATTTGAAGAGTTTTATGAATATTTTATAGACTCAGTACTCTGACTGATGAGAAATAACGCTCTCTGATGTGACGGAGGCTTTGGGCCTCCATCTCTGTTGTGTTTGAACTAAGCCCAGCACAAGAACAGACTGTGGAGGCAAAAAATCCAATTGAGTCATTTTCTATATTTCTTTATTTCCTATTCTAAGCCAGGGCAACCCTAAAACAGCTACAGATGCTTTCCAACGGCTTTGTAATAACTGAGCATATAAGTAATGCAAAGTGATGTCTTTTTCACATCTTTTGTCTGGCCAGACATGCTTTTATTTAGGGTAAAGCCAACTCAGGCAGCTCCATGTTACAATCTTTAATTTAGTTCAACCTTTGACTTAGTCCAAACTAAAACTAGGTTTGAGCTTATTTATTTTCTTGCATTAAATTATAAATGTCTTAAAAACTCCTACTCTGTGATTTAGCAGTTTTAATATTACTCCTTTCCTGGTACACTTGGGTTTGAAGGATAATTATGATACAACCAGTTTAATTTAATTTCTACTATTTCTTTATGTCTACTTATGATTATAATACAGGTGTATATAGGTGCTGAATTATTTTGATTGTCAATATTTAGTGTCTTTTCTTCACATTGGCCTTTTCCCTGTGTATCCTGCCAGAGAAAAAGGAAACACTCTATGTAGGATATTGTGAAGAAATATTATGAGTGAAGTAGTACATGTATCAGGGTAGGACTGATGAAAAGCTTGTTAAAAAAGCGATCCATATATGCTCATTTTATATTCTCAGCATCCAAAGCAAATAAAAATGGATACTGAAATCCAGTTGGAATATCACTAAGACCCACAGTACACCTATAGATTGCATGTACAGTAATACAGTAGATACAGTCTGTTCCATTCTATTTTCTATTAGAAACAAAAAACTCAGCACTCCTATTTGTTCATTCAAGGTCTGTGTTGTCCACATTGCTCAGAAGACTCAGTATGAAGCACTTCAGGTACTGGCCTCAACTGTATTGTAACACAGTTGAAAAATTAATCTTCCATCCTGTTACAGAGCCAACAGATCCATCTAATTTGTATGCACTAAACAAGAAGTAAACCAGTATAAGATGGTATAGACAGTATAGAACATATATGTATGTCCTAGCGATGTTTTGAACTTGTGCTACAAAATTATTAATGCTATTGGGTTTGCCCAGCAATGAAATCCCATCTCTGAGCATGACTGATCATCATAAGCAGAGAAACTGGTGCCTGTGTTTTAAGTCATCCTGTTTTCCTCTTGATGAACAGACTGGAGGCCATGCTAATCTGCAGCTGAGGTAAGCATCCAAACCAAATAGATGTGAGAGTTGTTGCAGTTCCTCTCCCTAACAGTTGCCAATGCAATTAGCCATTAAAAGCAGTAAAATATGGTAAAATCAGTGAAAAACGGGTAAATCTGTACAATAAGGTGGGTGTACTGTGAGAGAAAGGGAAGGAGGAGGGGAAACAAGATTTTAATCATTTGTGTCTGTCCTCAATGTGGAGACATACTTTGTGCCATTCAATAGCATGAAGATGATGTGTTTTAATAACAATCTTTAAGATAGTGGTAAGAAATATAAACTAAATATTGATTGTCTGAGCCCTACGATTTGATAAGGAAATTAGTTTCTGATTTATTTGGTAGGAGCCCTTAGTTTGCTCCAGAGAAGAGGATATAAAGACACAATATTGCGCTATTAGATAGATTTGGTGTTCAAGTTAGGTACTAAACTTCCTTTAATAAATATGAATACTTGAAAAAACCTATACTCTGTTAAAAACACAATTTCAAACTCATTCTTAACCTTTTAGCTTATCAGAGACTGACACAGAAAGGAGCCTCTCGAGCACATAAAGCATAAGGAATTTAACTCCTGTTTACATTTTTCCTGAAAAAAAATTATTAAAACCATCCTTGAGTAATCATTTTTAATGAAAGAAAGTATCTCTGTGAGTTAGATACTCATCATATGCCTGATGTTGTGAAATAAGTGTATCTCAAGACTATCATGCCTGATTACTGAACATTTTCAAGCCATCATTATTATGGCAAGAAGCTTTTTTTGTGTGCGCTTGTTAACCGTCACACTGCTGATTTGTGAATGTATGCAACTTTGACATTTTTCTCATGCCTTCTTCTGATATCCCTTTTTATGTCTCACTACATAAGACAGAACCATATTTTCAAGAGCGTTTGCCTCCCATCCCTGCAATCCTGTTACTTAATGTTAAAAATAGTGAGGGACCTGCATGGTGGGGGCGGGCAATAGAGCAAGAGGAAAGGGAAATCTGATACATAGCAAAGATTCTTTCAGCTCAGCTGAAGGGCAGAGATGTTTTTATGATTCTGTAATCCACTCGCAGGTAAGATCAGACCTAGACATACAGACCAAACCAAGGCAGTCCAACAAAAACCAAACCTTAAAGAAATTTCTGAGCCTCTACATCCCAGGACCTTCAGTATTCTTAGGCACTGTTACTCTACAAGTTTTATAAAGCAGAGAACAAGAAGCAAAGCCATGTGTCTGCCTTTTTCTGAGTTCTGTATTATGCTTTCTTGTCATAAAAGACAGCTCAGTCTAATGATTGTAGCCATCTTACAACCTGCAGGCCATTTCTGGCCTCCAAGCTGTGAGGAATGTATAAATAATCCAGAAAAAAAAGGCAGCCCAGAGCAGGATGCAAGAGCTGCTGCAGCTGCCAGCTATCTTGTCTGTGCCCCATTTTTGGGCAGAAACACCTTAACACTCGTGCTGGAGGTGAGAAGCACTTGAAATAAAGTCGTCTCTTTGGATAATAATAATGTCATCAATGAAAATTTTCATAAAAGCATTTCACTTCTCTGATTTCATGGCATTCAAAATCTACTTAGAAAGCACCTGAATTTAAATAAGAGTCAAACTGTGTCAACTTTTAAATAATTTCTTGTTCTTCAAGATACTGGCAACCAGATACCAGAAATTCTGCATCCTTTTATCTCTCTTGAGCAAAGTTTATACAACTAGGAGTCACTTTCCCACTTTAGCAGCTAAAAAAAAAATCAAAAAGATTTAAAAACAACAATTACACAAAGGACATGAGGAAAGTTAGAAGAAAAGCTCTGGTTTCTCTGGCTTCAACCACACTGCTCTCTTGAAAGCATACTGAATATCACTGCATCCAAACAGAGAAACATCATAACTTCTTTTTTTCTTAGCCTGTGATGGTTGATATTATACAGGAATAACAGAGCAATAAAATGGCAACCTTGTCCTTTTGGGTTTGGAACTGAATGCCAAAAATAAAACCAAATTTATACAGAGTTGAAACCCACTAAATAAAATTGCTGATTAATTAGAACTTTTCAAGGATTTTCTTCCTATCTGAAAGCATATCCAAGTCCAAAATCCAAATTCAGATCAGCATATACCTTTTTTTCAGACAGGTCTGTGTGCTTTGGTGTATCTCAGACTCCTCACGATCCAGTTCAGAAGCTGGCACAGGAGAGGCAACGTCAGGCCAATTTTTCTTGCAGCCTTATGGGCCTGGCTCTAATTTCCCTGGAAACCAAAGTGCAGAGAGAACAGAAAGAAAGTTCTTGCTGGTTTGTACCAGGTACACACACCTGTGTAGATGAGGCCTCATGAGTCAGTACTTCTTACAGGTAATACATGCGACTGGTTGACCTAGTGCAAAAATTTTGCTGCAAAGCATAATATTTTGATGATATATTTAAACACAGCAACTAACCAGAATAGGAAATTATAAAAAATATAATCTAAAATAATTTTATCTTAGCCAAGATGCACTTATTTTATAACTACACTGGAAAAGCCTTAGATGTCTCTGTATACTGTGCTGTAGACACATATAAAAAAGATAGGAGAGCTCTCTGCATTAAACTTCAAGCGCATGCCTGTAGTCCAGCTGTAGGAATCTCTTTTTCAGCATTTCCAGCTCATTTTCAGCAGAATTTCCTCAGAGGTTTCTACAAGTCACTGACCAAGGTGTAAAAGAGGAAACACCTTGTCCCAACCCACCAGTGAGCCATGCGTGTTCTCAAAAGCACTTACATGCTCTGACAGCAAAACTGGAAGTTGTGGTGAGAAGGGGAGTGCCAACTCAGAGTGCACTCTGCAGAACAACTGCAATCCAGTATGGAAGAAATCAATAGCTAGATTAATTGATATGCTTAAGATGTATTCAGTATTTTGTGATTTGTAAACCAGTGGAAACACAAGAATACGCCACTTATTAGCAGTGTAGGAGGAAGTAGTTACCTTATCTGAGATGAAACAGGTCTGGGAGAAGGGGAACTGTCCTGTGAGTCTGTAAGAAAAGATGGAGGTGAGCTGCAGGTTAGAAGACAGACACTACAGAAAGAGATGGCATTCAAAAGTAAATAAATAAATAACAAAATCTGCAAAGTCATAAACCATCAGCAAGAGAATGAACTGCATTTCTAAGCAGTTAGGAAGAAAAAGAGAAATGAATCCAACCCTTCACTCCTTGAAGCAAGGAAGTTAGAAGTGGTTTATAGTTTCAATACTGAAGACTGGCAATGATAGTAAAAATTAAAAGCAAACTGGGCACTCTGCTCTTTATCATTCTCCCCAGATAAAATCACAGAAGATATCTGTATGTTGTTTACTAGCACTCAGTTTCCTATAAGGTATAAATACAGCTAACTAAAACACCGATGGCCAATCACAGCAGAATGCTGAAGGTACGCACAATTGCATCTCAAAAAAGAAGCACTCCCTGCTGTTGGCTGCAGCCCATTCGTGGTGGTGTCATAGTAGCATGGAATTTCTTTGTGCAGTGGAAAGGGACAGGTTGTGCCTCAGCAGTGGACTTTGCAATCTTCTTGAAGCCATGATATAATGACATATCAATAGAGAACTTTCTGCAGACCTCAAGGACTCAGATCTTTATTGAATCCATCATGCGAACTGAATGCAATGCACTCTTCACCTGGTGGGTTCAATAATGAACAGAAAACAACAATTTTGTTTGTCTTAAAGTAATGAGCAAACTCCCAAATTTCTATATATGGATTCAAAAGCTGAAACACTTGTGCGTAGGTAAAAAGTTCTCCTGGTCTTGGACTTATACAGAGCACATACTCAGTGCTGGAGTGTACTCATTTATTTCTTTCCTGGTAAACAGTAACACCTGCTGAGTGCACATTATCATAGTGCAAGCAAAAACCTTTACTGCTGTTTTCTACTTAAGCAATAAATGATGTGCTGCCATTCACATTTTACAACATAGAAGCTTGTACAGAGAACTGAAGTGTCTTGCCTAAGGTCACACAAGATTTACTGTCATGGTTTTGTGATTTTTGGCTTTCGGTATTCCACATCATAACATCATGTGGGGCACTGGGACTTTAACTGTCAATGCTCAAGTACTGGGTCCGAGGCAGTGATCATTTAGCTCAGTCATACAAAAGAATCTGCATATCAGGTAGCAGCTATTTAACATGAAATATGTCATAAAGCAAAGAACAAAGACTCAGCAACACTGTCACCATCATTCAAAGGGAAGACATCTCAAGGGGGTGGTGACCCTCCCAAGCTGAAGTTCTGTAATAAAGGGGCATTTCAGCAAGACAAGGTCAGAGGCTAATTATAAGAGTTACAGAAAGCACAGAGAAAAGCTTACGGAAAATTCATCAAGTTTCAAAAATAAGTGGTTATGTATGATTTACATCACAGGTTTCAGATTCTTATCTATCCTGGCTTCACACATAGGAAAAATTGTTTTGATTTCTGACTTCACGTTGCAAATGTGTAGAACTCCCCTTTTTGTACGATTTTGAAGTGAATACCAGCCTTATGCATTTCAAAATTATAAAAAATAAAGATAGCTAAAATTGGGAAGTTTAAGAGCAAAAATAAATTTATCAGGAGACAGTATGTGTCAATAAATGTTTGACCTTAGCAAACCTTTACTTGAGACTTTACTCTTAAAGATCCCTTCATGTGTAAATAACCAAATCCACACTGAGAAACGGGAAATGCAACAAGCCATATAATCATGAGAACATGGAGTCATACTGAAAGCTAATAGCCAGAAGCCATCTGCAATCACAGGCTGTAAAGCATCCTTTCCTTAAAGCGTACTGAATAGTTCTTTAGTCTAAGTGTATTGACCTTAACAACACGAGGTGCACCTTGGAAGCAATAAACAACACTCCTGTAAAAAACAAAGCCTAAAAACAAAACAAAACAAAACCTATTCTTCCACAGAGCATTGTTTCACAGTTATGCACAAGGACATCTGGTATATGGACTGACCAAAAGCTGTTCTGAAGGCTTCGCAATTATTGCAGATTTGAAAGCCGGTAAAATACCTTTGGAAGATTCATTATAAATGGTACCAATGGAGATTTCTCAATTAAGAAAGCAATTTGTAATCTAACAGCCAGCTTTTCTTAGCCTGCTTTTTTATTGGGATATATTCACTTCACATAGGCTTGTTTGAAATGTATTGTTTTCCATGTTACTAACAAAGTATTTTGAGATTCCAGAAAATTGGGTCATTCAGGCAAGAGTATGTGCTTTGAACTTCATTATTCCAACTGATGTGTGATCTTGCAATTTGATGGTCAGATGCACAGAAATAACTGGTGTTTATATTCTCCCATGAAATTTTAGTGAGTGGCAATAAAAAGCTCAACTAGAAAACTTATTATTGGTTTTAAATTGATTTATATCCTTTTCAAGACCATGTTTTTAGTGCCCTCTCATACTTTATAGTATTTTTCACTACTAGAACTTAATTCTTCTAATAAGAAAAAAATAGCATGTGTATTCAAAGATTAATTTCACTGCAGAAATGCTTCATTGTCTAAAGCTGGGATAAATTGCAATGAAATACAGCTTATTTTCTAGACCTAATACCTTCTTAGAATAAGAAGAAATGGAACCTCCAATTAGTATGTTGGTGATCCACAGGAATAGCTACACTTTTTCAAGCACTAATTAACTAACAAACCAACTTTGCAAGAGGCACTACAGGCTTCTCTGCCAAGACAACAGGTGTCTATTACTAAGGAGGAAGAGAGGTGGCCAAAGAAAGGAAACTGCAGGAACAACACTGCAAATGAAATAATACTTAAAATGACATTTAATTAAATATTGTATATTCAATATATGAATCTTGTGATGTCTATGAAAATCACTTCTGTCAGGATCTATAAGGACACTGGCAGACACCGCCAGTAAAGCAACACCTGAGAATTTTTCTAGTCACATCTAAACACTATTCTGCAGCAGCATAAATGTGATGATGGCTGTAATCTTTTCAAATTACACTCAGAAAATGAGGAAAGCTTTTCAACATGCTTAATGTCATAATACTAATACCAAAATGTGTTGTTTGGTACAGGTAATTACACTCTAGTTCACATTCCTCAAACATCTATTTGAATTCATTGTCAGAATTCTGATTTGAGTCAGGCTGGTCTGAACTCACAGCTCATAAATGCATCCATCACTCTTCTAAACTGGCCTCATCACTATATAGCAAGAAGGGATTTTGGTGCTTTTTATCTGTTCATTTACTTTTTCCCAGCTGTTCTCTCCAGGACAAATATATGTTTTGTTAAATTGGTTCATTTAGAAATGGCTTGGAAAGCAACTGAATTGACAGCAACAGTGCTTCGTTAAATTTATTTGAACAACAAACTATTTTGATTTCTTGATTATGAACAAATGGCTACAGACTTTTATAAGTCAATGTCACCGCACTGTCATAGCTCAGAGAAAACTATGGAGCTTGCTGAGTACAACTCAGCTGAAGAACTCAGTCTTTGCTGTATTTGTGAGCTCAGACTATTGGTGATTTTTATCTGAGCTTTTGTTAAGTCAAGAAGAGTTCAAAAGCAGAATGATTTTTTGTCACAGAGCATCTTTGTGCAAATTTGAAGCTAAATGCACATTAGTGGAAATACAAAGAACAGTCACAGGTGGATTATGCTGAGCATAGGAATGCAATGTTTTTTTTTTTTCCTTAATATACCAGAGGATAATTTTTCAATGTATTCAGAAAAAAGTTCAAACTATTCATTGGGGCATTTCTAGATTCAGTCAGTTCAGCTTTACTGAGCTGTATAAGGCTGAACAAGTAGTAAGATGACTCAAGGAGGAGTTATACCAATTATGTATTTTATGAATCTGAAGCATTAGAAATGGACACGACAAATGTAGTGTAAAAGCAGGTTCAGGGCTGTCTAAATCACATCCATGGGACCAAAGCACCTGGACAAGCCAGACAGCACTTGTGACACTTGGCTGATCCCTACATAACTCCACGAGGCCCTTGCAGGTCGTTAGCTCCCAAATGTTGAGCAACATTGACAGCAAAGAGGTAGAGATGGTAAGCTTCTTTTAATCGACATAAAAATAAACTAACTTCAGAAAGCCTTAGAAGGAAGACTTTGTGCAAGTGACCTGCCTAGCATCATCAGAAGAAAGACCTTCAACAAAAAAAAAGAGGGCTAATGTCCAAAATGTCTACCAGCTTCTTCAAAGAAATGCCTTGTTTCATTATCACCTCACTTTCCAAAAATAAAATGAAGAATTTTTCTCTCTAGCCAGGGTATAGGAGCAAGTTATCATTCATGAGAATGCCACCTGGCAGCTCACTGAGCACACCAGTATGCATACTGAATGGAGCAAGCTCTTTTCTTTTTTTTTTTGGTTAAGTTTTTTTCAAGTGAGTGAGGAAAAGGCCTTAGGAATCCTTTTGACAGTGCTCTATTTTCACACATCCAATACAATGAAAATGTTGTATACATTAATATTTACAACCTGATTATAATGTTTGTGTCATAAGAGACACTAATATGATAAAGGAATTTAGAGTATTATCTTTTTGCCACTAATGTGGGATGTAATCTGTTTTCAGTCACTGCTTTAGCCTAAAGTATTTAAAATTGAAATTAGGAAATAATTCTTTATTTTCTGTAACAATTTGAAAGAGTAGGAAAAGTGACATGGCTTCTCATCTACTTAGGGGAGCAGGAATGACAAGTAAGTAAGGGTGCTGCTTAAAAAAGAATCCTTAAATAAAGGGATAGCAAGAGAAAAGGTGACTAAGAAAAATCAAACTGAGCATAATATATAGAAGAACATAATCAGGATGGAAGTACAAGCTTATTGGAATATGAGGTATATCTTATTAAAATATTGTCTTACCTCATTTTGCCAGCTTTCAATGCATCTTTATTTACTCATCCACAACCAAAATTCACTTTCTGTTTCCATCTATTTACTCTTTGTACTCCCTTTTTTTCAGTCTATCTGAAATGGAACGCAAGAGTAAAATTAGTAGTTGAACGACTATTAAATTATTTCTAAGCAAATAACTTCTTACTCAAATTCAAATTTCTAACTAGATTATTTCTTCTCCCCCACTGACTGTAAGTTAGGAGAAAATTGGCTGCTTTAGCTGCACTTATAGCCCTCTTCTTAAGAAAGATCTATTTAATGCATATATTTGTTAAAAGCAGATGATGGTGGCTTAGTCTCTGAAATGCCTCTTGCTTCAATCAAGATTTTCAAGAAGAGTGATACTATCACCAGCGAACAAGGATTTCCAGTGTTGACTCAAAAAGCATGGGAAGCACATAGATACTTGAACTGAGAAAGCTACTGGTATACGGCAAGATTAATGGAATCATAACATTTGCAATTTATGTTATCTGAACCAAGAGTAACAGAGCCTGTCCTCCTACCAAAAGACTTTCCACAAGAGAGCCTCAAATTCCATCATCCCAACCAGTTTTAAATGGGTGACATTTATGTAATTTAACAAGATACCACACGAAGATCTGAGCTGTCCCTATGAATCAGCCCAGATTTCCCTGGGCTTGCTTACATTCTATAGATAAGAGGTCATCCTAAACAAGTTTCCGTGGTTACTACCAGCAACACACCTACTGATAGCAAACACCTCCTGTGAAGCTTCCTATTAGCATTCTCCTTTTCAGCATCTTCAGTGCACTGATAAGGAAAATGTTGCAATAACTAGAAAGATTAAAAGAAATATCTTTAAGAAGGAAATTATTTTTATGTTTGGAAAAAAAGAAAAAAATACTAGGCCAGACATGTACCCTTCCAAGTTTTTATTACCCATGAACACAGCAGTATGTTCTGATCATTCATTTTAGACAGACTCAAAGTGCTTGTTTGGCAAAATTATTGCTTTACATAACAGTTTGTTATTTTTGTTTTGATTAATGACTTTTCTAGTTTCTAAGTAGCAACAGTTTCTGCAGCTGCATTGGAGAAAGAACCTTTTTTGGAACTGCTGTTACCTTTTGGTAAGAAAATGACTGTCCTGCCAGTGTATTTTAAAGAATCCAATTAAATTTGTCCTAAAAAGAAAAGTACCTAATGCAGCTTTTTAATAGGTAAAATTTTTCAAGCATTCTGCTCTTGTTTTTCTACTTCATTAGTATTACATTCCATGTGACTGTCCAGACAAGATAAATTGCTTTTGTTTGAAATTAATTTACTGTATAAACACATTCTCACTAAATATTTTTGGAAGCACTCATACTTCCACACTGCTCCTTTCTCTAGCTCAGTTTTTACAGCTTTCAGTTGTTCTGAGTTAGTGCAGTAGAAGAACACTGTGCACATGGCCTTTTACTGCTTGATCTTTGTCATTTACAGAATTTGGTCACAGAACAAGGATGCATGAAAATATAGCTTTGTGTCACAAGCACATAAAGCAAATTGTAGTCTTCAGATAAGGAAACTGAATAAACTTTGACTTGTACAAAGCTGAACACTGCTGTGGTTTTTCCGTCTAAACCAAAAGCAGAAAGCTGGCAGATCTCTGAATCCACAAGATGAGCTTCTTTGAAATGCGATGGACGAATACAACACTCAACCCACCAGTACTTCTTCAGCTGTCTCACACAGCTTACCAAGTAAGAGGCAGAAGAACATCAAGTACAAGCTTCCAATCCCACCTGCACTTCAGATAAACTGGATTAGGGCAGAAGAACATTAGGCAAAATTCTGGAGTTTCCATACTTTTTAAAAGAAGACATTTATCTTCAAACCTTTAGCTTTCACATGGAAAACAAGAGGAACTAGGAAAACAAAACTTTTAACTGCCAGATTATCATCATGCTTTGAATGAAAAATCTGGAAACCAAGACTTCAAAACTTTTTTGGAAATCTATAGCAGGAAAGAAGCTGCTTTTATTTCTGACTGCCAAAATGCAGAGCTGCAAAAGCCTTGTAAAAAATGCATGGTACAAAAAATGCTGAAGTAGCAGCGGATGTTGAGAGAGCATGTGCCAGAGATTTGTATTGAATTTTATGAAGTAGACACATGGATTGAGTTACATTATGTGAAAAGGTCTTGGCACACAGAAACAATTGTAAACAGCCAAGGAATACAGTGCAGAAGAGCCAGGAGGACAAAGTCTTTCAAATGAAGGTAGAAAGTGAAAGGAAACAAGATCTGAGAGCTGTGGCACGTTGTATCCTGTAATAAAGGACAGGGAAAGTAGAATTCTCTAAGCATTCATGAAGAAATCCAGAGCTTAGTGCCATATTCCAAAAATAAATCAGAAGAATCTGTGTACAGGAAGGTTAGTAGCCAGTCTGTTACTATAAACTCATTTGGTTTTGTTTTTAAATCCTATTATTGTGGGTTTTAGTTGCTGGTTTTCTTGTTTGTTGGCTTTGACTTCTTCTTAAAGAAGAAACTTTTCACTTAATTGGGCCGAAGACAACCTCATTAGAGTAGAGACATTTAAGAAACGGATAGAACAATCCACAGAAAACACCATGGGCTTATCTAGTGAAGCATGGGTAGAAAGGATACAGCCTTCCCATCAGAGAGTCAGTCCACACTTCAACAGCTTCATCTCTCCATTTTGTATCAGCCCTGTGGTTGGTGGGGATCCTGCTTTCACTTGCAAGCTCTTGTTTGTTGAACCTTCAGTTTGACTTTCACACTTTGTGCCAACATTTTCTTCTTTTCCAGCTTCTGGCTGCTGTTGCACAAGTGAGGATGTCCCAATGCTCAGCTCTTTCCCAAGCTTTCTGGCTCTGGATGGAGGTGGGAGGTATCCTGCATAACTTTTCTCTTGCATAGATCTTAGTGTCAGAGTGATTAGTTGCAGTACTACTTGATTACTGCTCAGAATGGAGCATGTCAGAACAACCCTTTATTTGTTTGAAGATTTAAATTGGTTTATAAGTTTCTATACTCACTGTCATTCAAGTTCTTTAAAATTCTTGCTTTCATTCTACATAATCTTACAATGATACAGGATGGGTAACACATATAACCAATTACTTTTTATCATAATCCTGGTTTGATCAGAATGATAAAATTTTTGCTGGTATTTTTCTTATTTCAATAAACACTGAACTAAAGTGTCCTCACAGCCTGATCTTCAGTGTACTTCCTCATAAATGGAACAGAAAAATGTAAAGGTAATATTATCTGATCACAAGCTTACATTGAATCCAATAACTACGTCATAATCCAAAGCCCATACACCAAAGTCTGAACAAGCCTAAGTGTGCTTTTTTGTACTAGCTGCTAAGTTACTTCTACGGATCCTCCGGTCAGATCACTTGGGCCAATGATAGAGGAACTGCAGACTTTGTTTTCCTGGAATTACAGTCCAAAAACACATTCAAAAAATGGTAAAAATGGCACTATAACAAAACTCAAAAAAATTGGAAGTTCCACACTCGGTCTGATTACTTCAGCCTAACTAGAGATCAAAAACAACCCTAAGTTTAATATAAAGTCTTAATGTTTATCTGTCTGTCACTTCTTTGTGCAGCTGTGGACTTAGGACTTCTAAAAAAAGAAAGAGACATGGAGAAAGACAATCACGCAAACAGGACAAATAGCAGCCAGTGTAAGTCTGAGGAGCTGTGACGCACCCCAGGAAAACTACAGAGCAAGCTTGGGTGATGACAATGACCAACCCTATCTTTGACCTTTAGTCAGTCTTTATAATTATTGTGATTTTCTTTCATTTTATTGTGGTTTTTCAAAATGTATCTACACTGTACAAATGTTGTTTTCCTCCGTTAAAAGAATCCAAACAAACAAGCAAAAAACCAAGCTAAAAGCACAACCCCAAAGCTTGAAACTACATATTATTCCTAGCCATGTTCAGAAGGCAGAAAACAAATGAAGCTGACCGTGTTACTATGCTGTTTCAACTATGCCTGTCAATCCAACAAATGCCTGTTACTGTCTACACACCTACCCAGACAGACATGTATGACCTGCAGCTGGTCATGCTCCCAGAAAGCTGATGGAAGCGCTGTGCTTGCTGGGTCTGGACACCTGGGCTGCCTTCCCTGTGAAGGGTTCCCTCTAAAGTGAAAGACAAAAAGAAGATCTAAGGCTGTAAAATCTGTCTCTCTGATGGAAGTTGCAGCACATCCACAGACTACACCTATTCAACAGCTCAATCAACAAAAACAATGATTAAATATCAACTACTTACCAAAGCAGTGTATTTAAACTGCTTGAGGACTGTTTACAGCACAACACAAGAGCAGTGACAAAAAAACCCCACTCGCTCTGAGCCAGGAGTGAGTAACAGCCTTTTTCTCCTGATAACATTACGTGTATCTTAGGACAACAATAGGACAGATCCTACTACGTGATTCAAAAGCTTTCTGGTGACTGTGGGAGAGAGGATGGATTTGATACTGCAGTGAAAGGAGGGAAAAGATCATGAGTTATACCCAGATGGACAGAGATACTTACTCTGATGCTTGAAACTGAGCTCTGTTTAGATTGCAGGTCTGATTTCACAGCATCAACATTCTTGAGTCATTCTTGAATGAAAACTTCCAGGAATTCAACCTGGGTGATTAACTCTCAAAATTTCAATGTTATTAAAGTTTAGAAAAGAAAATAAATACAATCTAAAAAAAACCCTAACTGGCTGCAACTGAGAAGTAAGAATTTGAATGTGCCTCTGCTTTGAGCCCCTGAGACAGCAGTGACGATCTGTGTTTGCATTTGGAGGCACTGCAAATCCAGTCAGCCCAGGGAACTGCTGTACTGAGCTATGCAGATGAGGCCTAACCATTTTCCAAGTAGATTTATTAGGGGACTAATGTGTTTTTAGCCCTTCCATCACTCTCTGTGACACTTCCCCATGAACTGTATATAGGATTTCTGGATGAACGTCAAGTTGTATGGTGGATCTGGAATTCTACAAAAAATCTGGTTCTCCTACATCTCCACAGATATACTCCACAGAGATAAACTGACCATACATGCAAAAGGTGTCCTGATGTTGCTGGACGCTGCCCATGAATTTTGATTTCATGCTGGTAGCTGGTCTGTACACCTCCTGAGATGCTACATTCTCTTCAAATACGCCTTCTCATTTACTCACTCAGTGCAAAGGGAAATTAAATGCAAAACAGGGGTGTATTCCCATCTAAGCAGGTTTGCAGTATCAGGTCTGAAGTTCCTGTAGCTCACATTAAGAAAAGCACAGACATACACAAAAGCAGTCAAAGAGCCACTTGCTCTAAAACAACAATTAATTTATAAGGGGCAAACACAATAAGTGCAATTTTGCAGGCCATCTGCCCCAAAATATATATTCCAATATTTCACCACTCTCTGCTCTACTACATCATCACCGTGGCAACACTGGCACCCTAGGAAGTTGCATTAAAGTTGCTCAGAAGAACTGATATTTTCCAGCGTTGTAGGCAGTTTAGAGTCTTAACTACAAATTCTTTGCAGCTCTGCAAGCTGAGATGAAAGGTGCAAAAAGCTTTAATCTCGACACAGAAGTCCTAAAGGAAATGTCTCTCAGAAGCAAAGCACTGCTGGCAGAGGCACTTCTCAGCTGGGCTGTAGGACTGCAGCTCGAGGGCTCTGGTGCTCACAGATGGCTGCATGCCACTGCCACCTTCTGAAAGTCCTTGATCCCCTTGGGCCACACCTCTGCCCTGAATGCTTTGAAAGCATTCCTAACACTTAGGAAGGCAGAAAGAGCTCATTTATTAGTTCTCTCTTCCCAAAAGAAGAAAAGCTCTTTTTTTTCTTTTCTTTTTCCCAAACTGCTGCTACTGCTTAAAAGATGATACGACAGAAGGAAGCCAGCCAGCCATGGATATAGGTATCTACCTGCCTATGCCCTTCAATCTACTACATGTAATTTAAAAATACCAGGTTTGGTCTCATCTCTGCAATAGAAAAAAAAAGCCTGTTGTTGAGTTTATCAGTAGATCTCATGCTGCCTATTTAAGAACCTGTTTTCATAACCACCACTGAAGCAGCGGAACTCTCCAGAAGTACGCACAAATTTTAAGTTAAATATATTTCATCTCTTCAGGAATAGTTTTACCTGACTATATATGAGGCTAGTGCAGTCCTCTTCTTTATAACTCCACTGTATTCTTGGAAAGCTTTTAGAAACTTAGCTCTTTCATACTTTCCCCTGTGATTTAACTTTCATGCTGCCTGCAATTTTATTAGGTTTGCTGTAAACTTATTTTTACAAGAGATTCAGAAAGAAGCCTTTACTCAAAGCTCTCACATTAAAATTTTCAATAGGGCAACCAAAGTTGACCCCAATTACCTGTTACCATGGTTTGTACAGTATGAAGAAGCTATACGTGGGAATTAATCTTTCTCTCAGACAGCAATTGCAGCACATACAGAGACTACACTTAGTCAATAGCCCAACCCACAAAAATAACCATTAAATATCAAACTACTTAGCAAAGCAGCGCATTTAAACTACTTGAGGACTGTTTACATCACAACAAACAAAAGCAGTGACAAAATAATTCATTACTTCCATATCTTTGTTTATGTTACCTTTTCTTGGGGTTTACCTCTGTCCTATGGAATGGGTTATTGTATGGTGTGTACTTCACATAAGTGCTTACACTGGCAGCTAGTTATGAGCAGACATGTTGGAGCTGACTGCTAATGCTAATGAGGGCTGTCAGCGTTGCTCCCTTTCCAACCCCTGGTTGCCCAGGGAGCAGCATTCTGTACTTAACTGCCTCTCGTGCAGGCACATTGATTGAGGATGGCTCCAGAGATTCAGACATTCGAGAGACACTCTCCAGGCCTGATTGCAACATAGAGCCGTTAAACTACAAAATAATCCTCTACTTAATTTAAGCCTGCAAAACTGACTCAAGTCAAAGTGAGTTTGTCTTAAGAAGTTCTATGTGCACTGGGTGCCTGTGAAATACAGCTCCATTCTCTGTCTTACCAGTTCAACTCAACTGTGCTATTCTGGTGTAAAACATGGCAGAAAGAGGCAATGACCCACCACAACACTTAAGCACTTTTTGTTTGCAGTTTCTGCTCTGTACCATTAGAGTTTATGCTACACTTCTCCCTGGTCAGACTTACAGATATGCAGTTTCTCAGTTTGCCCCATCTTCATTTTAATGAATTTTGACACCACCTGTGACATTCATGTAAATTGACAGTGCATTTTTACATACAGTTGTAAAATCCAGCATGCTCTAGATGGTATAGAATCACAGAATCATAGAATCGCTCAGGTGGGAAAAGACCTTAAATATCATTGAGTCCAACCATGACCTAACCACACTACCCTAACAACTATCCACTAAATCATGTCCCTGAGCAGGGGCTCTGTTTTGGATACCATGGCTGCACCTTCTTTTAAGGAAAAAAACCAATCCATTCTAGGCAATTGTTACATTGCTTTGTAGTCTAAGAAATCACAGTTTGCTAATGTCATGTTACTCTAATGCTCTGAGACAAGTGCTGGCGCATTAGTTATGAAGATAAGAGTTTGTGGGCAAGCACTCATTAACTTTAACTAATCCTTTAACAAACTCACACACAGTTGAGAAGGGTTTAAGTTACGGCAGCCCTGAGGTTTATTGCACTGATACAGTGATCTTCCAGGGAAGATTTATTGTTTCCTTTTTTTGTTTTGTTTTGATTGAATGAAACTACGTGCTGCCTCCCTTGCTTTTAAAAGTCTCTGAGTATGTCTCTGAACTGAGCTACAGTTTATGAGAGACCTTTCTTTTATATGGAGTAAAAGCCAGATTTGCCTGAGAGTGATCTAAAATGCAGTCTCGCTACGCAGTACCAGCAGTAAAACGATGTGATTCTGCGGAGATACACAACTGTATTTTTTCTGAATAGGAGAGAGACTTCAAAGCACCAATGAAAGCCCCTAAAAGCTAAATTAAGTAGGTCTTTGTGCTGGGAAAACTATCAGTCCCTGAGGGAAACCAGAGGTGAGTTTTGCTTTCTGCAGAAGCCAGGAAATACAATAGGTTACAGGGAGTGAAGGTACTGCTGAAAGCTGGTATGAGTCACTCACCTCAAAAGTACAGGATTTCCCCTTCATTTCACAGCTTCCCCATAGCTTTGGAGAGCCGTTCTCATTGTTTGTCTAGGGAACACTTTTTTCTTCAGGTTCAGTGATCCCTTCTACCTTCCCATATGAGGTAGAAGAAGCTGCTAAATTTTTGTGTTCTTCATTGTATGTCTTGTACTTTTCAGAAGTCAATGGGTCAGGGGAAAGAGAGAGGAAGCAGCACAGTTTTTGGAGAGCTGCTAAGCAAATTCAGGTGAAAAGCTTAAATACACTTTAGGGACAGTGTGGGTTGAGCTAGAAGCTGGGACCTGCAAGATTTGCTGCAGCTCAGAAAGTTGTGGAGACTAAAACACTAATCAGAGAAGAAAAAGACATCTTGCAAAGACTGTCATAGCCAAATGTCATTGGTTTACACATCCTTTTAATTTCCATTTTCTGATAATTTTCCTTTTTTAAAGAATTTGAGACTTTAGTCTAAGCAGATCTGGTTTTGAGTTCTGCTTGAATCTGTCTCCCAGGGCTATAAAGGTCTGGCCAAGTACCTAGGATTACAAAGCAATTCCGAAGAACACTGTCCCTGGCAATGAAAGAATAGGAAAGCTGACTATGGCTCAT